CCCTCCTGGGCAGACCCCTCCTGACCAGCCCGCTGCTCCCCTCAGCAGTGTCCTTCATCGATCTTCCTGTTCTGCTCCCCACTCTGTCCCAGGTGAAACCTCTCACCCTCCGCATCTCTGGCCTGTACCCCAGTTCTGTATGAATAAATAAATAAATCTTTTTTAAAAATGTAATACAGTAGCTTATTTTTTTAATATAACTTTTTGCCAAGTAATCATTCTCAACTTTACCTCTGTTTTCATGAGATGGTTGGTTAAAATAATGTATATTTACACAATGGAATATAATGTAGTAAGTAGTTCTCAAGGAATTTAACAGTTAATTCAGTTATTGGAAGCACTGGGAAATTCTAGCTTAAGGAATTTCAGTAAGCTAAATTCTGCAAATAAAATGAATAAATGAATCACACCAGGAAGCATGCTAAAAATTACCAAAAATGTTCAGTCTTCTTTTAGATCAAACAATATGATGATATTTCAAGTTACTTCATTTAAAAACTATGACTAATTACAATGCCTTTGCTTCCAAAACCAACAATGATCTCACTTCTAAAACATTCTTGTCAGGAAAACATTTTCGTACTAAAACATTACACTCATTCCTTACAGCCAACTCTAATACTAAATTCCAAAAAGCTTAATCAGTTACATTTCTTTTTATCAAATAAGTAAATTATTATGCAGTTTTTGTGAAGCTATCCAACTATGCTATAAAAAAATGACTACTTTAAATGGTAATCTGAAAAACTACACTTTTGTCAGAAAGAATTCATATGACATATATGATATATATGACATATACTGCCCAAATTTGATCTTTTATGCCTGATCTGGTTAAAACCAGAAACTATATTAAGAATCTTCTCAGCGAACTAGATTGCTATTAAAGAAACAAAATTGATCCATTCGTGCATTCTAATTACTAATGCTATTCTCAAACTCCTATCATGGTACTGAAATGGTTAATTACGGAAGTATCATGTCTAAGCTATGAGTTTAATCTACTAGACTCTGGATTCACACTAAGAGATCAACAGAATGCCAGTACTAGAACACAACTTGGTGAAATGTAAAAGGTTTTACTCTTTTGACCAACTTCAATGATATAAATAAGTAAGTAGTATTAAGTTTCCTAAGAATATTCATTAAAAAAGTTAGTTATTTGAATTCAGGTATAAACCAAGTAGGATGACAAGTATATAAACCAAGTAGGAGAACAACTTCAATACAAGTATGCCAATTCCTATTAAAAAAATCTTCATACCTATAATGATATTCTCATTTCTCTAGACTTTGAAGAAGATACAGATTAAATAAAAGCTCAATCTTGTATCTTGTATATTTATCTTCTCTACGAAATTACAGTGGTTTTAAATTTTGTGACATATATCTATACTTTATAATCCTAACTTAAGCTTCTAAACTGCAATGCTTTAGCATGAGTTTGGAAAAAAAAATAATTCAGAAAAAGCACTTGTATGGGAATAGTAAAAATAGCAACAATAACAGGAGAGCAACATTTTATTAAATGTTTTCTATATTGTAAGTTCATAAATTATCTTTTTGAATTTCACAGTGACCCTATGAATAGGATTTTACATTATTATTATTTCCATTTTACAGAAGGGAAGAAAAATAAGGAGTAAAGTAATCTGTTCTTGGTCAAATAAATAATAAACAACAAAATAAAAAAAATAAGTATTCATTGCCTAACAATGAGATTTTAGGTCATTTTCAAGCTCCACTCATTGTTTTTAAATGCTTTAAAGGTATATAAATCCATAAAACTTCCTAAGGCTTCCAAGGAGCCTTCTAAAAATAAACGATTGTCTAAACATCCTTACTTTTCATATAAAAGAGCTGAGGCCCATGGAATAAGTAATTTGTTGAAGGTATGTCAGGTATTCAGATAAGAAGCACTACTAGTCCTGCCTTTTTTAAATAAGGAACTTTTCTGCTTAAAGTTTTAAAATGCCCGAACTTGGTGATTATCTCTAAGGTTTCTTTAAATTCTAAAATGTGTATTTCAGCAAGGATATGGAGAAAAAGGAGGGGTGATGAGAATGTAGACTAATCCAATTTCTATGGATAGCAGCATGGAGATTTCTCAAAAGATTAAAAATGGATCTAGCACCTGACCCAGCAATTCCACACTCAGGTATCTACCAGAAAAACATAAATACATGAATTAGAGTTTGCTCTTCCATGTTCACTGCAGCACCATTTACAACAGCCAAACTATATAAGCAACTTAAGTGCCAAAAACAGGGTAGTGGATCAAGAATATGTGTATATATATACAAAAGAATACTACTCAGAGATCAAAAAAGATAAACTAATGTCATTTGCAGCAATATGGATAGAGCTGGATTGGATTATACTAAGTGAAGTAAGTTAGAAGAAGAAAGACAAATACTGCTGGATAGGGTTATTTAGATGTGGAATATAGAGAAAGCAGACAAAGGGTCAGATAAAGCCAAAATTAAAATAAATCTTTAAAAAATAAACAAACATAAACCAACATTGTCTCAAATAAGTAATAATAAACAAATAAAATGTATGTTTAAAACAAAACTGTAATTATTCATGTGATCGTCAAAAAGAAATTGTTCTACTATGTTTTGGTTAAATTGAAGCAATTTCCAGCAAATAATTTCAATCTAGAAAAGTTTGAGTGTTAAAATTAAAGAAGAAAATAAAAAAGAGGATCCTTTCCTTTTTTTTTTTTTAAAGATTTATTTATTTATGCATACAGAACTGGGGGGTACAGGCCAGAGATGGGGGGGGATGAGAGGATTCATCAGAGA